TATGTTCATTTCGTTTAGTGAATGATATTCAACAAGGGTCAGTACAATCGAGCGGACATGAGCGGACCGAATATAGGGCCCGTTGAAACTTCTGTATCTCACGCATTGTGACGACAAAAAGGAAGCACCAGTTGAGGGATACATTTCACGCTATTCATTTTGAGAGCTAAGCTATCAATGTTGAAGACACCGAGGATCACCGAGGTGCTAGAACAGGGTTCCTAGCAAGGCCGTAGTCTTCTTTATGCGTCGGGTCCCTTTTTTCCGGTCGGCCAAAAGACCCTTCAGGATTGAAGCTCCTCGCATGCGGCGTTCGGTCTTCCGCAGTGCGGATGATGCCCAAAACTTAGCCTGGCGGGAAGGACAGTTGCTGGCGGGAAGGACAGTTGCTCGAAGGCCTGCCTACGATTTAGTGCATTTCAGCAATTTGTTGGGCAGATCTCTTGCCAGTCCCTGATATGGGCCTGGATGTTTTTTTTAAATGTGGCATAGTGTGGCGAATTGTGTCACTTGCATCCCACAGTTGGATTGCACGAATTCCATTGAATGAAGTCCTGTACTACAAAGTTTAAAAAATGCGGACCCGCATGTTGCATCCTATCACGATGGGAATTTATGTGCCATTTTCCCACTGTTGAATGTTTGCCTGCCAAATTTTACTGCCAAGGTGCGGGCCAGCCTGAAGCCCATTGTCGCTGGCGCTTTGGAACGCAAATGTCAGAATCCCAACTTTGGTGGAGTCGAAACCGCGGCAAATATAGTTTGATCCCGATGTGGCAGTGTCTCAAAACCTGGAGCCCTAGACCTTCTTCTGGTAGTCTATTTCCGTTCATTTTCCTTGATCAAACAAGGTCGCACAGTTTTGACCCACAACCATGTGGGAATGGTTATATAATTAGGCAGGTCACTTGCGTTTTCGTTGGGTGGTGGTGGTGGTTTATGTAATTATGTTGATATCATCAAAGGCCGCAACCGGCTGCCATTCGTGATTGCTTAGTAACTTGAGGGTTCTTGAGGTAAATGACCACAGGCCTTGAGTTCTGGGCAGGTTCTCGGCCTAGTTGCCCAAGTTATTCTTGCCCGTGGTGCCTCCACTGCACTTCTTCAGGTGAGTGGTTGTACATGTTCAATCTCTTAATGGTAATGTTAATAAGCCAAGCGCTGCCTACCCTACATATGCCCTATGTAGGAACCCATGGGCGCTGCCTGCAAACCTGGCATTCACAATGGGTTGGCCCCCAGTGTTTCCTTCGCGGTCAAGGCGTACGGATTTAAGATTAATATCAAGAGTGGAAACCCGTTTTTGCGCACATCTACACCAAAAAACTCCCAGTGTGTGGAGGATAAACGTCTTCCTAACTTAATTCCTATAGTTACCATTTTCTATTGTTCCTTTTGTTTTGACGGTGTTGCGCACAGTTGCCCAGATGTTTTTCAACTCTGCACATGCCTAGGAGAAGAAGAACACCACTACAAACCTGGGACATGTGCTGAGATCGCTTTGCATCCGCACCTTTGGCCGTGGGTCAGTTGGACAAACTCACGCCCCCTGTTCAAGCTGAAAGCCGCACTTCAATGAGTCCAGCCCCTCATGTTCGTGCTTTGTGCAAGAGGTTCAAGACTGCATGAGCAGGAGGAAACGACTTAATATTGACATGATGCAACAGCTGATAAGTGTGTTGATCATTCCTTGTCAGTTTGGGCAAGGGTGATTGGATATGTGTTGGAGTGGCCCTCGTCGATTTCACATATTGAGTTGGCTCAGCTTTGGGTGTGTCACTTCAAGGATCGTCAAGGTACAACTGGTGGACTCACTGGGGCTTTGCGCAGCCTGTACTTGTCGATCGCAGGTTCTCGTTGTTTTTTTTCTAATCCTGGTCGTGCAAGTTTGGCCATCAGATCAGCCGCCAAGGCAAGGCCAAGGCTGCTTGAAGAAACGCGATCCCAAGACATCCCCACCCTTGTGGCAGGTATGTTCAGACACTTGACTTATCGATGATCCTCGTCTATGCCATTTGGATGGGCATCGACGCCGACTGGAACGATGCCCTGCTGATCACCGAGTCCGGCTTCATCTTCCAAGCGGCTGATCATTTCTTTTGTGCCTCGTCACGAAAGTCTCAAGAGAGCAAGTCTGTTCAATCTTGTTCGCAGGTTTACCCGAATGCGATGGCCTGATTTTGTTTATTGAATGTGCGGCCAAGCTACATGCAAGTGGCACATCCCGCCACCCGTGTGGTGTTATATAAGTTGCATTCCCGCGGGTTATGCCCTTTTGTGATCCACTTCCACTTGTTGGAGAGTGAATAGGCCAAAATTGTCTAAAATTATTCTCCAGCCAGTCAGCATTTCTGAAGCAAAATGCTGGCCAAAAAACACTTTTGGCAGGTAGTCGGAGGTATTTGATTGATGAACCAGAAGTGGCCACGATGTGTTGCGTAAAGAAAGCAAGCGTTTCTAGCCGTTCTAGCCCTTGATGCAATTGAAGCTGTAACGTGACCTAGCCTGCTAGAACAAGACAGCCAAGGCGGGTTCCCATGTCTCATCTGCCAATCTCGCACGAAGGTGAGTCTGCAGAACCAAACAATCGGCAATCACAGCAAAGATGCCGAACTCATCAGTTGCAAAGAACTCCTCAGCTTGTAGGAGTAGGGACAAAGCAGGAGCAGCGATTCCACAGATTTCCCTCCTATAGAACTGGGCTCGGGATTCGGTTTGGGCTTTGGGGCGGCCTTTGTGAATCCAATTCGCATTCGGTCCCTCATGGTCCCTCTCTCTGGGATTCGGTTTTGGGGGATTCGGCCCTGGCTTCCCCCGGAATTGGATTCGTTTGTTTTTTTTTGCTTTTGGGGGCTTTCGGCTTTCAGGTCAACCCCCAACCACCGACCAAATTTGTTTCTTTCCTTTTCGGATTGGTTGATTGGGTTTCTGTGTTCGTGCTGCCCTCTGTTGATGCTTGTCAGCTTGACTGGCGCGCGTGTCGAAATCTCCTGGAATCGGTGCTTGGATTTCGATTTTAGTCTTTCTGGGGTCGCTCATGTTTGCTGTAATTAACGTCCTTGTCTGAGGCAAAGCCGTGCAACCACCGAATTTGTTGTTGATGACGCCAAACAAGACAGACATGACCCCAGTAATTATATAGTGCCAAACGGAAGCTCACCACAAGTGTATCTGGAGTATCTTCGTGTGTGTGTGAGTGGATTGAGGGGATGTGAGGGGTATTAGTTAAGTTATTAGATTATTAATTAGAACCTAGATGTCCCCAGAAACCGGCCTGATTCAATTTCTGTAGACACCTGGCAGCCAAGTCCTGTCTGTATAGATAACCCCCATGGATGATCGGGTGTAGCTCGACGCTTGTATTTCGGATGTCGTGGTGCATGATTTCTCCAACCCTTTGGCCAAAGGCAGTTGAGTTGATATGGATCCTGCTCTGAGCGCTCCTTCCCTTTTGGAAGTCACCTCTCCAGCGGTCTTCGAAGCCACTACCAGGGTCGAGCACGGTTCCCAAATCACACCTCGGATGTGCAGCCATACTGAAACCAAATTTTTCCACACGGGGCACACACGCCAGTCCTTGATTGGCTAGAACGCCCCAGGCACCACTGATAGTAGAACCAGGCAATGGAAGTAGTGACGGGCCATGACGGGCCTTGAGACCCACTCAGTGGACTCAAGACCTTTTTCATTATCTCAAAGCCGACATCTCATGCATGACTCAGTATGACTCATGCCATTCTCATGCCATGTGATTATTTCACTCTTCTTCTTTCCACCCCCACCCCTCGGGGTTTCGAACACCTCCCAATGGACTGCTTTTATTGCTCGCAAAACCACGTTTCCTTGGCCGAGGCCTCTTTTTCGTCCTCGAGCTGGGCGTCCGCTTCTTCGCTTTTCAGGGCTGCTGCGACCGCGTGCGCGACGGCTGGCCGCTTGGCCGCATGACGCTGTTGCGCGATGGTACAGACGAGCGTTGGCAGGTCGGACATGCAAATGGATCCAAGAGAGCAAGAGGTTGGATTTTGTGCAGGATCACAAAGGGGACATGTTCAGACATTTCAGTGTATCTCTACCTGGACCCTTGCATGCTGACTTGGAGATTTCGACTCAGTTTGATCACAAGTCAAAGCGAAATACAGATGCTTCCTCTGAGAAGGTGCATTAGTGAATGATGGAGGCTAGATGGGGCTACTGCCGACCCACTTGAGCAGAGCCAATACCCCTGAGCGGCGTAAAGACCCCTGGCATCACTGAGCTCAAGCGACGATGAGGTTCGTTTTTGACGCTATCCTGGTACCACTCACCATCGTGGATACCTGGGCCGCCTGAGCAGCAGCTGGAGGGAAGCTAGGTCCAAGAACGACATCAAGTAGCCCTGTCCAGCCACGAGAACCTCAACATTGGACATGCACTGGTGAAGTGTGTAAGGATGGTTTGTTGAAATAAGGGTCCAGAACTTGGAACTGTTCATTTCATTAGCCATCAGAGCTTTGTTGGAGGTCAAAGTCAGCTGTACAGCAGGAAGAAGTCAAATCGGCCGCTGGACGTTCTGCCAGGGAGCCAGAAGCCAAAAGGAACCCCAAACAAACAGGAGTTCCAAGGTGCTCTTGTAGAGGCCACCGAAAGGCAAAAAGGACTAAGCAAAAGGTTGAGCTTTGTTTGACCGGTGACCCAATCGCTTCTCACAATTTGAACGTTGGTTCTTGGTTCTGGTTCCAGCCTTCGACCTCCATCCTGCACCCACACCCTCCCAAAACTATCCAAGACTTCTTGCTGCAGGTGGTGCCAAACATCTCACCATTTTGCCTTTAGGAACATACCCAAAGCCGAAGACACAACCATGTGATACCATGTGTATCCCTTTCAAAGCTGGTGGAGGCGAAGGGCATGATGACCGTTCAAGACCAAACGAACGTGTCATACGTTCAACTATTCGTTCAACGTTCGGCAACCGCTCTGTGCATGCTGGTTCATTGAGCCTACCATCACGGTAGGCACGTATGGCACGCACGTCTCCACCGGGACGGGTCATGACGGCCCTCGCACTGGCCACACCGGTGGATCAAGCAGAAGCGACCTTCATCCGCCGCGGGGCTCAGTGGCTCAACACAGCTCCAGACAGCAAGGGGTCCCCTCTTGGAGTGCCAAGAGAAGTGGAGTGCCAAGCGTTTTGAAGAGTTTCGAAGAACATGTTCGAAGGGATTCGCTCAGGATCAATGGTGGAACGAACCGGTGCAGATTGAAAGTTGATCAAAAGTTTTGGCAAGCCCTTTTCTTTATTGTAAGCTTTTCAACCCTACAATTAGGTTGTATGTTGAGTGGACAGTTGCGTGCAACCTTTCCAAGTGGAAGACGCTGGGAATTTCGAGTGTGCACATGTGTTAATAAACTTATTATTTGGGATGGTTTGGGCAGGCTGAAGTTGACAAGGGAAGGAGGCATCATTCTTGCTCACTTTCCAACTCGCTTCCAGCTCCTCAACATTCCTCAGTGGCTGAAGAGGCGTGTTTGAGTTGGATTAGATGGACCTTTTTCATCCTTTTTCCCCTCCCGGTGGCCTGAATCGATCGAACGGATGAATGCAAGGACCCAACCCATCGACCCTGAATCGGTGCAGCGAAGCGGCCACCGAGGGAATAGTGAGATCCTACGGTCCTTCAGGCAGCCGCAGGGGCCGAGGGGGTGACGCATCATGGGTGGGAGAAATATAGGAGAAGTCATCAAATCATCCACACATTTTCTGTATTCTTCTATAATTTTCTGAATGCACTGTAAATTCCACAAACCTTGGAAAGCAACTCCTTGGAAATGTAATTAATCCAGCCGAAGTCACGAACCCCCTCTCCCAACCTAAGCGACCCAGCTGAGTCAGCTGCCTTGCGGCCTCGGTCTCGGTCTCAGGATCCTCCGCTTGACGCGGATCTGCCGCATGGCCAAGCTGGTGAGGCCGCCTTTGGCAGACAGCACCGGCTCACGGGTTCACCGCCTGTGGGGGAGCAGTCGGGAGCAGATCAGATGGTGCTCCCCCAGCATGGATGGGGCAGGATGGGGCAGGTGCAGTCTCGGGATGGTTGACTTTTGACTCTGTGACATTACAGAGATGGAAAGAGGGGGGTTGGAGAGCGAGAGTGCGTGTTTGCATGCACACTTTTGTGCCAGCTGATTTTCAGCAGGCCAGTTGTTTTCCGTAGCTAGCCTGCCATGCCATAGGCCCTAGGTCTGGAGATGTGGGGTGCTCCTTGCAAGTTTTGATGCAGATGTTTGCTGATGCTTGGTGTTATTGGCCATTCTACCCCCATTCCCCGTGGCTCCGCATATTTCATTATAATGTGTCATCATATTTCCACATATTCTGTTAGTTTCGAGGGCGGACGGTGCACCATGCAGGTTCTTCCCAGAGTTGCAAATCCTTATCAAGGCCATGCTCACGGCGTTCCGCTCTGCCACTCGAAATGATGTCGTCGATGGTTCGTGCTTGATTTAAAGAAGACCCATGATGAATGTGCAAGATGTCGGGAAGGCGTTTGATGTTGAATTCAGCTTGTGAAAGGGCAAGGACTGGTTAAAAGGCAAAATGGGTGCCATTTCGATTTCGACCAACCTTCCACATGCTGCACCTGTCAACACCAGCAATCATGAACAGACATGCATGATACCGACAGGGGGCATCCGCAGGCTTTTGACCTGGTTGGAAAACCTGGATCGGCAAACATGTGTTCTTGAAAGGCTGACCAAGTGTTGCTATGGGGTGAACTCGTTCCACTTCAAGCATCACAATATACATATATATATATATATGTATGTATGTATTACGTATTTACTTAATTGCTCATAACATATCTTGTGTATTAGTAGTGACTGTCCCTTTGCTTTGGCATGTGCCGGGGCAGCTGTGCATGTTTTCACGCAGGCAGAAGGCTTCACACCTAGGCAGATGTTTCGCTTTTGAGTCCCTAGCATAAGATGTTGCATTGGATGATATGGCCGAGCAATTGCCATTCAAATTATGGTCAAACCATCTCATGGCACCCCGACCACTATACCAAGAGCCTATTCCAGAGGCTTGTTGCAAAGCTTCCTGGGCAGTGTAGGAGTGCAGTTCACGAGGTCATCACCCAGAAGACGTTGTATAGACAGTGGCCGTTGTGCCTGCGCAACCCACCTAGGTCTTCTTTGCACTGGTCTTGCATCTAGGCTTCACCAGTGTGGGGGACGGGCAATTGGCTCTCACACTTTGGAAGCTGGGCCAAGACTCACCATTCATCACCAGATCGCCTGAGATGCTTACTGGATGCTGTTCTAAAGTGAAACAACATGCTCAGAGGTGGTGTCAATCGACGCGTGCCATCGAGTGCCCGAATGTGAGGAGGGCAAATCCTCGTCGCGTTCCACTTTTTCTTTGGTACATGGGGAACTTTAGAATACTGGGGAGCTTCAAGCTGCTTCATAGGAGGGTGTACTATGCTTCGATGTTCCTTAGGGAGTCTTGAGCCGCTTCATCCAGTGACATTGACTGATCTCCAAAAGAGGCTCAATGAACACTGAACACTGAGGGTTTGAATGTTTCATAGACAAATGTCAGTGTGCAGCGGACATGCCTAAAGTAGCTTTAAGTAATTTGATAGTCGTTGGCTCATTGGCGGCAAGTTTGTTTTGGCCAATGCTATCATGACAGGGACGACCACCTAAAGTCCTGATGAAGCGCAAATAGAATCAATTAGATAGAAAAGTAATTAAAAGTAGATCCCCACTACTGCAATTAAAATTGTATTGGAAACCGTTTCTATCTATTTGGAGATCACTCTATATATATAATGGTTGCTCCTCATATTGACATTCAAGTCTTCTACCAGTTCCAAGCCGGGACAAAGAGCACGACCTTCCCATAAAGGAGAAAGAGTCTTCAAAAGACAAAGACGCCATCTCAGGGACCCCATGTGCCTGAACTACTCCATGTCTTCACCCAGGAGCACCGCAGAAAACCTGCTTCACCTTCCAAGCACAGAAGACACATTTTGTCCAAACCCGAGGCTACTGGCCTCGCATTACATGGTGGCCATTGCCTACCACGTGACCCTCAAAGGCTCCGCGGTCGGCTCTGCAAGCTTCGACTCGGTGTTGGCCGCTCGGCGGGGCGCGCGTTTTCCGTCCGGGGCCGCTCGGCGGACCGGTCGCAGCGTCAAGAAACGGCCCCCCTGTACGGACCTCGGGCCCTGAGCATCGGAGCATGAAACAGCTTTAGTTAGTTGGGCCCCCCAAAACGAACCAAACCTGTGGAGGCCAAGCTTTTGGAGACTCCAAGAAAATGCATGTCCAGATGAGTGTGGTGGCAGATCAAAGAAGGCGTGACTGCGAAGCTAACCTGCAGGTAGTTGGGCCGAAGGTGGCCAAGTCGCGACTCTAAGGCATCCATGCAGACCATTTTCATCCATTGCACTTTGCTCGATGAAGTCATCAATTTGGTGGCCGCTTGGCGGCAAGGCTCGGCTGAAGAACTCCCCCCCGCCCCCGCGGAAAAGAACGACATGGCTCAGCGGCTCAACGATAAGTATAACTACAAAGCACTTCGAGCGTCCATGGAAAACTCCCTTTTCCATCCTTTTCCCATTCTTTAATGCATCAAGCCTATGGAGCTGTTTCACCAGTTGGTTGTGGGTGCCGATGAGCTCTTCTTTGCTTTCCCCCACTGTTTCGCCTCAAGCGATTCGCAAGCACGTTCCACCACGCTCAGATCTTCCCGTCTTGACCACCAGGTTTCAAAATCGGAGGAGCGGTGACAGATGAAACCGTCCTCAGGACCAGTTCACCGCCGAAGGCCTCTACGTCCACCTCGTGTGTCTCTTGGATGAAGGCCGAGAAATCGGGCACTCTCTTAGACAAGGCGACGAGCAGGTGAAATCCACAGGAAAATGGACAACGAAAAGTCAGTTGGAGTAGAAGCTGATGGACTGTTCACGATCAAGATCACCTTTTTGGGAGGAGCTGCCAGGTCATTCAGCTCACTTGTCCCATTTGTCTCCCAAGGGCCAGGTTGACAATGAATCTGGTGTTGTTCTTAAGGAAGTGGTAGGACTAGGCGCATTGTCAACCAGCTCTTTTGGGGCTGCACTTGAACAAACGCTCAGGCATGTACAGCGTCATGTTCATCAATGCCTCTTGGCAACACGTTTTGCAGGCATTTTTTAGGTGAACTGCAGCGACTGGGAACACAAAGAAACAAAGGCCTTGTTTGATGGCGATAGTGTTGCAACAAGAAGAAAGCTCGCAAAAACTTGGAGGGCAAACGGCAAAGTGCGTGTCATGTGGCGAGTGAAATCGAGTTCGGTCTTTTGGAGTGAGCGCCTAAATTGACGTCACCAAGTGAGCCAGTCGAAAAACCTTCCCGTTGATTCATATTCACTCAGTGGGTTGTCATATCGAAGTTGCGCGCAAGCAAAACCTGCACGCGCGTAAGGTTGCGTAAGCTATTTTTAAGGACACCTTTTGCGTAAGCCATGCGTAAGCTCTGAAGAAATACATGAGAAATACATGAGCACCCCTCTCAGAAGTGCCAGGATTAAGGAACAGTCCAACTCCACACACACATACACAATCCAAACTCGAATTGCTGAACACACGCAGTCCAAACACCACAGCTCAACAGTCAAACCTCCATGTCAGACATGAGAAACTCCAGGTGATTTTTGTGAGTTCCGGCGGGTAAGCCGCGCGTCAGCTCCGCGTAAGCTCCGGTGTCCTTTTCCATCAGTCCTTCAATGTGGTTTGCGCGCACCGCCCTTCCACTTCCACTTCTCCACTTCCTGCTGCTGCTGCTGCTGCTGCTGCAGGTCTGCTGCTAGTCTGCTGTTGGGTTGCTGCTGGGTTGCTGCTGCTGCCGCTGCTGTTCCTCCCGCTGCTGCTGCTCGGTTGCTTCTGCCTTTGAGTCTTCTTCTTCGTCCTCATCCTCAAGTGCTTCTTCAGCATCCATATCGGAATATTAGGTGTAGTAGATGTCCATTGTACAAAGCATGCAGCGCGTAAGCTCGCGTTGTGGTGTCAGCTGCATTATGTGCAAAACAGGTGCGACAGGTGTCGCGCCGCGTAAGGTCCGCGTAAGCCCTTCTTGCTCCAAGTGCACCGTGTAAGCAACATGATCAAACATGTATAAACATGTGAGTTGCGTAAGGCAGCGTAAGCACAGGCGTAAGCACAATGATACAGGCGTAAGCACAATGATACGACATGGGATTTCATCAAGGTTTTCCGAACCGCCCAAGTGACTGCTCAAGTGGTATACTGAGGCGATCACTCTTATGAACCTCTTGGTGGGAATTGTTGTTGAAGTCATCAGCAACGTCGCAGTGGCTGAAAGGCGGGCCAGACGCATACAGGGCCGACCTATTCCGCTGGTGTCCGCGCTCGCCAGGGTCTTCCCTACGCAAAAAATGATGATGATGATGTTGGATTATGTCAGAGGGTATAATTTTGGTAGGTGGCTGTTGACATGAAGCAAAGGAGATTCGGTTTCAGGTGGTGTCACGGTGTGGTAGATATTCATCATTAATGCATTAATGTCAATTCAGCACCATCGATTGCTCCAAGATTGGGTCCATGACCACCATGAGACAAAACATGTGGCACAAACAACAATATATAAGTATAAATTTTACATATTACTAAATACGACCTATTTTACAACTATGTATATATATATATGTATATCTATATGCAACAATATTTTAATTTATAATTAAAAGTAAAAATCAACAAATATATAGATATATATATATACATTCAAAGGCAAAGTAGAAAAATCAACCGAATCATTGCCCAGATTCAGATGTATGCGCCACCGAACCATGCGCGTCACTTCTTGGCCCCATCAGTCACTTCTTCGCAGGGAAGCGGTCAACGTGAAGTGGGTCGAAGAGGTTTTGTCCCAACTGCTTGGCCGCTGGGACATGACAGACTCGTTGACGGGTTCTTGCTGTGTGTGTGTGTGTGTCCACTCCTGTTTCCAAGGACACTACCCTAGTTTTTCTAATCTACCCTACAAGCTTTTCTGTACAGAAGCAGGGGGCACCTGGAGCAGAGATAGGGCAGGTGCCAATGAAGACACCTATCTCTTGCTCGTGAAATCGACGGGAGACGTCCTGTCGACGTACCTGCAAACTTTTAAATTCTCCAATTGTTGTTCAACCATACTGTTGCTCGGACTTTGCACTTTCCTTTAGTCAAGGTCTAACTTGCAGTAATCTTAAAGGGCTAATGCACACCGCGAAGCTACCTGAAATCACGCTCCACGGAGCAACCTTCTCAAGTGTGTCTTCGCAGCTTCTTCCCACTGTGGTGAGCTGTGTGATCCCCACGGGGCGCCGTTACCGCAAGAACCTGTTCACTCCTCACCGAGGGAGTAAGTTTCCTGAATTTTCTCTGAAGTCCCTTCGACTGAATTTGACCTGCTCGAAATCAGCTTGGATCGTCTCACCCAGCACACGTGAAGATTACTGCAGAGTTCACTGAAATCCTCTCTGAATCCCACTGCAGAGTTAACTGAAAGAGTTTCACCCGGGAAATCCATTCATACCTTTCCAAATATTTTTAACATTCCAAGTTTTAATTCCATTTTCCAGAATTTTAATTGCGGTTATTCAATACACTTCACAATTTCTCCGACCTCACGGACCTTTATTTGGGTATTTATGTATTTATTTTCTTACATACATACATATTTTCACTGTCTTTGACCTGCCGAGCAGCCATGACGTATCCCTGGCCCTATTCTTTGCCGCCACACATCCATCCACAACCACAACCTGCACAACCTAATTGGATTCAATTTCCACCACAGGCTTCACCACAACCTTTTTCAACACTGCCACCCACTCCACCGCAACACCCAACCTCACATCACTACCCATTGCCCATTACACCTCCACCTCACACTCAATACATCCAACCACACCAACTTCAGGCACATTTTCCAGTGCAACCTACGGCTCCCTTCGACACTACCCACCTTGCGCAACAACATCCACATCTCACCACTCAATCACCACAATCCCAAACTCACACTCATCCTACATTGCCACTTCAGTCTCAATCTCACTCTCAACCGCCACCTCATCAACTACATCAACCACATCTACCACATCTACCACATCAACTACCTCCATCACCACACATGACAACTCAAACCCCTGCCACAGCATCTTTTCAACCACCACCACTACAAGCACCTGATGCACTACAAGCACCACCACCTGATCCAACAACAATCACTTCACAGCAGTTGACCACATCAACTCCACCACCACCACCTTACACCTCAACAACCTCACCAGCGACTACTCAACCTGCTTCAGCATCCATCAACACACCCGCACAGCCTCCGCCGCCACACCACATACCACGCACTACCAAGCCAACACCATCCATTGCACCCACACTCAGCACTACAAGAGGCATTTGGCGCGACCCAGATCGCTCACCACCACGCACACCTGAACACCACCGCTACTCAGCCTTTCCAGCCGTACCTTCCATTGCACCATCACAAGCTACATCCAGATCCAGGAGTCGCACTCGATCACTGCGTACCACACGCTCTCCACTACCAAGACGTCGAAGCTCCGCCACACAATCCGTGGCTAGTTCTCAAGCTCAATCCAAACCTGCAGACAGACAAACATCACGATCACCAGCAATCACCCAAGACAAAGCTCACACTTCCAGCCAAAACATTACTACAGCTGTTACTGCAAAACACACTCCAGAGCCACCTCGCCGTACTTCCAGCATTACACTCAAGCCCAACCCACAGTTCACTCCCAAACACTCCACACAACAGACACCTCCACCACCACCACCAGCACCAATACCTGCAATTCCAGTCCAACGTCGACCTCACAACTTACCTCCTCCAACATTCCAACCACCCACCGATCCAGCACAATTGGATGTCTTCCAATGGCTCAACCGCTACGCACAAGCACTTGATGTCAAAAATGAACCCATGCTTTCATACGTGGCCAAAGTGCTCAGTGCAGCTCATCTCAACAGCACCCACTTTACCGACCTACAACTCCTCACCCACAAAAAATGGTGCGATGAAACAAACAAAGAAGAACATTATTCCTTCCTACTACTCACAATCCCCACATTAGCGAGCAGGGGCGACGCCCCGATTCTTCCTCCTACACGGAGAGAGGCGCTGAACATACCACCTATCAAACACATTTTTGCGGCACATGTGAGCGAGGAGGGCAACATCATTTCAATACTTGAAGCAGGAGAAATTGTGCGATCCATTCTGCATGATGCTCACAATGTGGGATATTTTTGTCAGGCGTTCGAATTGTCAAACTACGAGCCCCATGATGCTGCTGAAGCTGCACGCGTCCTCTTCAATGCTTCCAACATGGCCAAGAACCGCAGCGGTCTCATTCTGACGATCAAAGCCTATGGACACGGCCAGAAAGTCACTCATGGGGGCGAATCCGCAGCGAATGACTTGCTGCTCAGAGGAGAAGGGATTGTAAAATACACCCCAGGAAAATGCTGGGTAGCCCATCCCAAACATTCCAGAATCGAAGGGATAGCTTGGAAAAGCGATGCAAAGCCACCGCTCAGTTTCATTTAATTCAATCTATTCCGCTCACGAGGTTCATTTTTCACCCCGTATCTTGGATGACGACCTAGCCTCAAACAATCTCAGCCAGCCCGCTTGATATTGACATTGACTCTGATTTTCGCACACATCGTTGTCAACTTCCTTTTCTTCCGACATGTCATTCTTGTACAGATTGATGCCGACAACATGATCTTTTTTACAGTGACTTTTCCAATTTTCCAGACTTGCAGCATGTCAACACTCCTGGGTGGTATCAAGCTTTTTGAAGCGAGTCACAAGCATTTCGAACAGAGTCGCAAGTTTTTCCTGTGATTTGCAACCTGTCCCGCAGCCATTTTGTATTATCTTGAATATTGAGCTCGATCCCTGACGACCGCCGAGCTATATTTGCCTCTCGACGACTACCACGACGATGACTTCCCCTTTGGACACGGCATTTGCCCATCGGCTTCTCTTAGCACACCTTCAAGCAGCCACCTCCATTGCTACTACTTTTCAAAACCTTCCACCATTTATACCGCAACTACCACAACAAACACATCACCCACTCACTACCACTCCACCTTTCCCCTCA